ACCTCTCCTGTATTAAAAATAACAACTCCTATAGTATTAAATCATCGTTTGCTGTCCACATTCTCCATACTGGTCACCCCTTTAATCCGCATTCTGATTTTAATGTCCTTCATAATTGTGACAAAGGTTCTAAACTTAACTTTCTTGAAATGAAAGAAATGAATTACACATAAATTTAGCCCTCAGCTCTCCCATAATGAAACTCTTAGTATCAACAAGGATTTCCTATTCTTACATAAAATTTTGCCACGCCTTGTACTCGCTAGACGTCATTTTATTGTAATTTTGCTTATCTCTAGTCTGTCATTTTAATTCACTGTCAGTTTTGGCTTGCTTTCAACATGTTCGATTATTCAAGTTTAAAGTTATTTAACCACATCACTATGTAATTTTCTTAAATTGTTTACTATTCCTTCAACAATGTGTTATTAGCGTATGTTTTAAATAATTACTTTAACTATTTAACTTAATTCTGTATTTTTAGGTTATAACCCTTTAGTGGGTATGTCATTAGTTGTTTTACATCAAATTTTACATCTTGTTACCGTAAGTTAGTGCCTTTATACATATCGTTGCCCAACCTTAAGGTTTTTCCAGGTTTTGGCAACACGTTTATAAAAAAAATTTAGCTTCTTAACCCGTCTATTTGTCAATTTTACCCTGGTGCTACCATCTGTTGTGAATGGTTGGTTTTCAGGTTTACTGCCCATGTAGGTGTATCACTTAATGTTTGTTACCGTTTTATTTTATTCAATTTACAAATTGTAAGTAGTGTTATTGTTCTCTCCTCAATTTAAATCTATATCGTTTTAGAACACCTGATGATGACCGTGTGTCGAAACGTAGTGTTTTGTCGTTAAGCTGTTTATTAAATGATATTTATTTATTATCCCTCTCTTGTTCTGGACCCTATATGGGAATGGTTTTGTGATCTTTGGATTTACTCGTATTCAATCTCCCATTTTGAGTATACAATGGACGCCAAATTACCTAAGTAAATAGACACATCTATTAATAACGAGCAGAAATACACAGACTAGCGCGAGCAATATTGTCTTAGTAAATCTTAGAACTAGACGAATGTCGAACGTATGCGATATGCACAATTTTGCTTGCAGTGACATTTGTTCGAGTGTTTCCTTCAAACAGTACGCCAATTTATTGAGTTTATCGCTATGATTGTAAAATACGAGTATATATTGCAAAAAAAATAATGTGGTTGAATAGAAATTAAAAATGCCTCCTATTTGATGTGGCACTTCACATTCTTGAGCAGTTGCTGTGACACCCACAGGGTGGAGATTCCTAGTGTATGTTGTAGATATTTCGTCCCCCTCAAAATCAAAATTGAGCTGTTTCGGAAATTCTCCGAAAAATGCCCGGTTTTCCAGAGAAGGAGGGTCGAATTTTCATTGGGACCTCCTGCATACTTACATATTCGTTTAATATCGGGCGATCAAAAATGATTGGCTGTCGAGTCATTTTTGATCGCATTGTATATCTTTAAAGCTTGTCCCTGCTTTTTTTGGTCCGTCGATCACAGTTTCAGCGGCGATTAAGGAGCTTCCATACATTCCTCAACAGTATAGAACTTTTGCTTGAAGGATTTTCTATATTTTTGTTTTAAATTTCTGAAATCGCATTGATTTGTGGATATTCCATTCAGAGATGCATGTGGATTCTGTATCAAAGAGTTTTTATACAGAATTTAATTTTCTTTGAAAATATCTAAATATTATATACGGTCGGTGGTCCATATTAGAAAAAGGGTTATTTTGTAGAATTTCTCAATCGCCAAATGCTCTAAATTGCTATGAACGTTGTAATCCTGAAAAAAAAGCTTCAAAAAGGTAGCACGTTTTTTTCAATTATAATATTGCAAATATCTTTGTAATGTAATTCTCCATTTTTTGGGGTTCGTTGAGATTTGCTTTAATATATAAAAAAAGGAACCACAATTGTTTATTGTTTCTAAAGCGATCGATTTCGGGTTTAACCACCCATCATCAGGCTATGCTAAAAAATATATCACATGAATTTGAAGTTGAACACAGAATTAAAATTATTACCGTCAATTTGAATTATATAAATGCAGCGACATTGAGTTGAATAAAATTGGATAAAAAGTATTAAAATTACATTAACGAAGACAATAGGTACATCGGGAACATCTTGACTAGGGTTACATCTGAAAAAGTAAGTAAGGTGAAAACGGGCATGTAAGGGTGTATAAGTGTGTGTGTGTAAATGTGTATGGGTGTATATTTGAATTAGTGTTTTATTTATTCTATGAAATACCTTATTTGGATGCAAATTATAAAATTTTTTAGTTCTTAAAAGCACATGTTGAAAATTGGTTATTACTTATGACAGGAGAAAAGTTATAGGTTATGGTAAGATTCATAGGCGTACGGTGTGACATGGGCGTAGTATGGGATGGGTTTCTGGTTGTAGGTTATGTATTTTATGGTTGTATTAGTGTTTGTGGATTGGTGTAATGTAATTGTAAATGTGTGAGTATGGGAAAATAGTGTTTTCATTGAGGAGAGTGTGAGGGTTTTGTGCTTTGTGTTTCTCTATTTCGTAGTGTTCGAGTATATTTAGTTTTGAAAAGCTTACACCTCCACAAAACACTTAACAAACACAAAATCTCTATCATTTCCAAATCACACCCAACCTTATCTAAAATACTATCTAATAATAAACCCAAAGAGAATCCCTTAACCAAGTCAGGTATATACAAAATTCAGTGTAAAGACTGTGAAGCCCATTATATAGGACTAACCACCAGAAATATTAATACACGATTCAAAGAACACATATCCAACAGACCTAAATCAGCAGTTGGCACACACCTCCTCGAACACAAACACAACACCGACCTAGAACATACATACCTTCTACACCCCTGCAATATTTTCAAAACTAAATATACTCGAACACTACGAAATAGAGAAACACAAAGCACAAAACCCTCACACTCTCCTCAATGAAAACACTATTTTCCCATACTCACACATTTACAATTACATTACACCAATCCACAAACACTAATACAACCATAAAATACATAACCTACAACCAGAAACCCATCCCATACTACGCCCATGTCACACCGTACGCCTATGAATCTTACCATAACCTATAACTTTTCTCCTGTCATAAGTAATAACCAATTTTCAACATGTGCTTTTAAGAACTAAAAAATTTTATAAATTTTATAATTTGCAGCCAAATAAGGTATTTCATAGAATAAATAAAACACTAATTCAAATATACTGTTCAGTGTACTTAACCCCCAGGTTCTACGCTAACTTCACACTACAAGAACACGGAAATAAAATAAACCCGGCAACGTTTTAAAAAAATGGCCACCCGAATGACTATTCCCTCTAAAACTAAACAAGTACCCGCTTAAATTTGAAAAGTGGCACGTGATAAAACATCTAAGGCAGGGCCCCCTTACGTTAGTTATAGATAACGCTTTGACCTGAAGCACAGTAGGGAAGGAACGTTAAATAAAACACTGAAATTGTGAGAAGTTTGTTTAATAATGATCGTAATTATTATGATTGTGAAAACCCGGAAATTTAGTTGATGTACATTAATATAAACAAAACAAACAAAGCCAAAAGGTGTCGTACTCTCGCAAAAGTCACTGCCAAGGATAAAAAGAGTACGACGTAAGAAAAACCTTGCAGTTTGATTAAAACAGTCCAAAAGTTAATTAACAAAATATTTTGTAAAAGTTTTAAGCAGTAGTTAACAAAGATAGTAAATGCATATACACAATGTTGGTTACACTCAAGGTTAAAGCAAGTTTTTGGGGACAATGGGTCAGGTAGAAGCAGGTACCAAGATTCTGAGAAAGGGTTAAAAGTACAGGATGTGACTCATCTTTGGTGCAATAAAGTCCTTTTGTTGAAAGCAAGATGGAAAACTACATGGCCTTGTAGGCAAATTTGACTAAAAACAAAATATGTGGAAATTATTGAATCGCCACTCATTTAACACATAGATTCTAAACTGAAGAGCTTTGATTAGCGTAATCTCGCTCCTGCAAGATGGGTAGTCCGCCCCTGGTTTCGGGGTTTCGAACCTACAGTTGGATGTCGAAGACAGTGCACGGAATTAGGTGCCCTAACACATAATTATAGACTACAGTTTCTTTTTCCACCTTCCCGAGACTGCTTCATTCACGGAGAAAATTGTTAGTAACAAACAACAAGTCAGTACATACATCAAACGAATCAGCAATTTCCACATAAGTATTAAAATAAAATGAAAACTTATATGAATGTAACTTCAAGGACAAGACCAAGTAATCAACATCAATAAACATAAATTAAGCAAACATTACACCAAAAATGTAAACAATTAAAAACAATAGCATAACGGTATCACACATATGATTGCATTGCGGTTAAACAAAGTAAATTTCAAAAACAGAGATTCAAACACACAACAAATATAAAATGCGGAATACAAAACACAAATACGATATAAAGAAATGCAAAAATTACTACCTGCATTAAATAACACAAAATAACAACAACCATTTATGGAACGAAACGTTCACGACCGCCATTCGAGACAAGATCCCAAACGTAACTCCCGTTCGTGCTTTCTAGGTGGCGCAGGCAACTTTTTTTCCCACCTAGAAATTGCATGGTTGCCAACTCTCAAAAATGTATGTATCGTCGTAAGCTGTATATACAGGGTGGAACCTTTCAGACGCCCCTTTGGAAAAGGATCGGGTGGGCTACTCCACACGTGAGTTTTTCAACATCCATCGCTTAGGTTGGAGTATCTCGACGTTACCATAGACTGACAGCAATACGAGTGGCGGCTCCATACATATGACAAAACAGAACAAGTATTAGTATACAAAGAAAAGTATGTATCAGAGACACATCCATCATTTATCACAACACAAAGTAAAGGTATGGTAAACACAAGAGATCTATGAACTACCACAGAGTACATTTGACCTACACTACCAGTACCTTAACCCTACTTTTTCAAGATGGCTAATTCCACTTTTACAATTATAAGTAATCATTGTTCTACCTTCTAAAAATCTACTGCAAAGCCGGCAACTAAATCGAGCTATAATTCCGTGCAGCATTATACTTAACACTTCAAATTGCAATACTACAGCTAAACCTTGGAACTAATTTCAAGGAAAACCAGTAAGTAAGGGTAACTTGTAACAGAGATAAAGGTTTGAAACAGGTAAGGGACAGCGACATGTAATGGACTTCATTGATATCTTGTAAAAGTAACAGGAACTGGATATCGACAAAGAGAAAAAAAAAAACCAACGTAAACACCTGGCAGTGTGTTTGTAGTGGGGCCACCTTAACAGCTGTACATCAATCCCGTAGATTCTCCCTAAAAATTACCAATTCTGCTTCGCCCCTATAATGCACAACCACATTTTCCGAGAATGAGAGAAACTGTAAGAGTAAGGGAACGTAAAATACCGTCGCACTGAAAAAAACAACAACAAAAAACAAGTCGTCTAGCAAATCTCGTTGTAAAATGGCAACTGTCTCGTGATCCTAAGAAGATAATGGAAGACACCAACACCGCACGTAACCTCCAATGGAAACAGCGACACACGACCGCATCACTTGTATATTCACGAGTTAAATATGCGAAACAGGAGGAACAAGATGTCAACTGTCCTGCAAATGCAGAGTCCATATCACAGCAATGCGCCCCCGATGTCCACATAACAAAAACCTATGAAACGAAAATCAAATTGCAATAGAACTTCCGCAGCAGAGACTCCACATCCATCCCTCATCAGCACACTCCCCGTTTCAATCTGCTGGGCAGAACTGAAGAATGGGACACAAAGTGTCAAAATAGACATGGCCCCCTCCATTTATAGATGTTACAAAAGCAGTAAAATGAAAATCGAAGCTGTAAGCTGATTCTTTGAAAAAAAACTGCTGCATTAGTCAGCTCTCACTGGCATCCTCGATGTCTAAACTGTCCGTTAGGATGTGTGCATCGGAGTCGAAAAACCTGCAAGCGAGCTACAAAAATAAAACCAAGTGCAACTGTACTGGAATGAACTCTCGCAACACGCCCCTGCAATCCTCATCCGAAATCAACCAACTGAAATGCAAACAGGTCCCAAACTTGTCTCTAATGACGCCACCTAAAACCTGTTGTCCTTATAAATCCCTCGGAAGCCCCCTCTATAAAACCTTGTGACATGTAACTGCACCAAATGCTGGAATCAATGCAGCAAAACCTGTGCAAAAATTCCCCGTATTGTTGATCTAATGGGCCCGCAACATCGAGACTTGCTCCGTGAGTCAACAACAATAAATGCCACTTGAAAACAGTAAAATAAACTTCCATTCTCCTGGGTGCTGAAGTCGCTGAGGTCACTGGCACTTAAAGAAAATCGCCCCTAAAAGTGTCATGAGGGTCCTCTCGCCACCATTCACCTTTCTATGAATCAAAACCCTGGAACACTTCTAAGATCGGCAAGGGAACCAAAAAAACCACACAATTGGAACCCCAGTTGAAAAACACGTCCTCAAGCATGACAAGCTCCTGTAGTTGCATCAAACAGCGATGGTCATGTGACACGTTTGTTTTGAAGGTGGAATAATAAGAACAAACAGACTCACCTGATGTATTTGCCTTGCGAATTATTTCACCGCCAACATCCACCACATGGATCACCCTACTAACTCTGATTTGGGAAAATTTTCACAGGAGGTACGGTAAAGCAACTTGTTCCACCAAAACCTCTGCTTCAGGATGATTTAATGGACATCCCACTGCGTCAACCATCATATACTCCCTTGTAGGAATCTCCTTTGGAACGGTAACTGGAGATTTTTCTTCCGCTACCCCTGCATAATAAAATACAACAGCAGTATGTTCGGGTACACACACGATGGATAAACAAAAATGTAAATAACAAAACACATTTCAGATCGGCAAAGTTCCTTCCACAAACTTCATGGTCAATGCGTCCTGGTCAACGGCACCAATTCTGTAGTGTACTTAACCCCCAGGTTCTACGCTAATCTCACACTACAAGAACACGGAAATAAAATAAACCCGGCAACGTTTAAAAATGGCCACCCGAATGACTATTCCCTCTAAAACTAAACAAGTACCCGCTTAAATTTGAAAAGTGGCACGTGATAAAACATCTAAGGCAGGGCCTCCTTACGTTAGTTGTAGACAACGCTTTGACCTGAAGCACAGTAGGGAAGGAATTTTAAATAAAACACTGAAATTGTGAGAAGTTTGTTTAATTAATGATCGTAACTATCATGATTGTGAAAACCCGGAAATTTAGTTGATGTACATTAATATAAACAAAACAAACAAAGCCAAAAGGTGTCGTACTCTCGCAAAAGTCACTGCCAAGGATAAAAAGAGTACGACGTAAGAAAAACCTTGCAGTTTGATTAAAACAGTCCAAAAGTTAATTAACAAAATATTTTGTAAAAGTTTAAGCAGTAGTTAACAAAGATAGTAAATGCATATACACAAGGATGGTTACACTCAAGGTTAAAAGCAAGTTTTTGGGGACAATGGGTCAGGTAGAAGCAGTTACCAAGATTCTGAGAAAGGGTTAAAAGTACAGGATGTGACTCATCTTTGGTGCAATAAAGTCCTTTTGTTGAAAGCAAGATGGAAAACTATACATGGCCTTGTAGGCAAATTTGACTAAAAACAAAATATGTGGAAATTATTGAATCGCCACTCATTTATCACACATAGATTCTAAACTGAAGAGCTTTGATTAGTGTAATCTCGCTCCTGCAAGATGGGTAGTCCGCCCCTGGTTTCGGGGTTTCGAACCTACAGTTGGATGTCGAAGACAGTGCACGGAATTAGGTGCCCTAACACATAAATATAGACTACAGTTTCTTTTTCCACCTTCCCGAGACTGCTTCATTCACGGAGAAAATTGTTAGTAACATACAACAAGTCAGTACACACATCAAACGAATCAGCAATTTCCACATAAGTATTAAAATAAAATGAAAACTTATATGAATGTAACTTCAAGGACAAGACCAAGTAATCAACATCAATAAACATAAATTAAGCAAACATTACACCAAAAATGTAAACAATTAAAAAACATAGCATAACGGTATCACACATATGATTGCATTGCGGTTAAACAAAGTAAATTTCAAAAACAGAGATTCAAACACACAACAAATATAAAATGCGGCATACAAAACACAAATACGATATAAAGAAATGCAAAAATTACTACCTGCATTAAATAACACAAAATAACAACAACCATTTATGGAACGAAACGTTCACGACCGCCATTCGAGACAAGATGCCAAACGTAACTCCCGTTCGTGCTTATTAGGTGGCGCAAGCAGCTTTTTTTTCCCACCTAGAAATTGCATGGTTGCCAACTCTCAAATATGTATGTATCGTCGTAAGCTGTATATACAGGGTGGAACCTTTCAACGTCTCTTCTGTGTAATTATTATTTTAATTTCTAGTGGTATGTCATTATTTAATTTCTTTTGAGGAACTTTTGGTGTCACTTGCTGTAGGTACAGCTTTTTGCAGATTTATATTGTTCTGTAGCTATTTTTATTTCTTCAGGCTCTTTGAGTCGAATTTTGAGGTCTATGTTTCCACACACAACGGAATATACGAAGACCAGCCTTAAGGCACGCCAGTTTCGCGCAAAATTGACGTCGACGGACGACGTTCTTGCTGTTGTTGGATTATTGTTAGCTGTCGAAAGTAATAAAAAAAGAGTGAAGCGAAAGTTCTGGACTATAAAGACTAGTTACAGAAAAGGAAATATTACTCCCATCTAAATTTATTAAAAGAACTGAGGTTCAGTCCGAAAGATTGGCACAATCGCCTCGAGGCGATCCACACAATACGATCGGCCTTGGGACGCTATAAAAAAAGAGGCAAATCGAATGAGATTTTGTATTGAAATTTCCGGCCTCCAGGCGTCAGATGCGCAGGAAAACCTCAACAGAATTCTCCATACACACATAGAGATTTTCCTTGAGGTCTTGCGCCTCGAGGCATGCCTTGGGTTTTTTCGTTGCGTGTGGAGCCGCCTTAACAGCTTTCATTCTAAGTGTGTTGTTCTATGGCTTTGTAATACACAAATAGCTATTTCTGTAACACAAACAGTACATTCATTGAACATGTACTAACTACAGATAACAGTTAATTGGTAGTGCGCATATTTGTGTTCAAATCATGGTATTGCAGCTCCTTCTAAAGTGTGTGCTTCGTGCAGATGGTTGTCTTCGGAGAAATTCCGGCCATCTCATAATCTTTTCTATAATCCCACCAGATTTCGGTTGGCAGCTTTTTGTAAATAACATATTGGTCCGTATGAATAAAAGTGAGCAAATGTTTATACTTGCAAAATTCAAAGTAAGTACTCATAAGTGCCCCTTCATACTGGTTTGTTTAGCAGCACCGCATTGTGTCCAGTGTGAAGGAGCACTTACGAGTATTTACTTTGAATTTTACAATTATAAGGATTTGCTCCCTTTTATTCATATGGGCCAATGTATACATAGAGTGCTTCTTATTGATAAATCATATTCATAGGATGTTGCTAAGGTTGGGGCATCTCATGGTATCACAAACTTAGACTTTTTGCCAACATTTACAGCTAACAGAGTAGAGTATACTATTTACCGGATGAGTCACTGCAGTAGCTGAATCGCATAGGAAAATTTACTGACAACAGCCTGACGAACGATAGCACAATTTTAATGTCTTTTACGTGACCAAAACAGCTGTATGAAACTTGTTCATAGTGATGCCACGACCGAGCGTGAGAAGCGCGAACTCGGCAATCTTGAAATCTGGTGGATTTTGATCAATGACCCTTTTGCGGACGTGATTGGTTTTAGTAACCGCGGTCTATTGGTTAATCATCAAAGCTCATGGAGCATATTAGCTCTGTTTTGGTGCGTGTTGAAAAAGCTTCTTAAAACAAACATAAACTATATAATAAAATGTGTATACCTACAGTCATATTCACTTAGGGCCGGTATTTCCATCTTCGGATAAAGTAGTAGATTCGTACCTGCAAAATAACTTATACCGGCTGATATCTTCCGTTTATCTATCTGCGGGTATTTGCATCAGCGTGCGGTATAAATATATCCCGTAGATAGCTACCTAACCCTAGCCAATGTTGCCGATTTTAGAAGTCTGTAATAGAAAAAGATAGCGAACGGCAGGGTCATATATTAGAGCAAGATAGCTTACTACTTGACAATTTGAACGAATGCTTTTGTTTTGGAAAGAAATTCGGTGACTTGTAATATACTTGACAAACGTAAATTACAGAATAAGCTTTACTTATGAGTACTCTGAACATGAACCAAAATCGTGATGTAAATGCACCGCGTAGAAAGAAAAGAACTGCTAATTTCAGCACATCTGAAAATCGTGTGCTTGTGTCAAGAAAATCTTGATCCATTTGGAATCTAAAATAGGTTACCTATCCTTCAAGAAAACATAATATGTATTTGCGTACTTCTACTTATATACTTCAATTTCTTTCTTCCTATTTAGTAAAGGTACGGTTGGTAATTTCGCAAATTTTTAAAACGTCACCAGTTTACTAGAAATTTGACGCAATATCCTGGGGTTATGTTGATAACTGCAGAAAATCTACCCAATAACTTTATCTAGAACTTATCCTGCCGATAATATTTAAACGAGGTTCGAAATACCCGAAGCGAGGCTAACTGTCGGTTTACCTGGAAGATATCTTATACTTGACTTTATCCCAAGATGGAAATACCGGCCCTTAGAAATAGCCATAGGGATTTCCTATGTCTAGTTTTAAAAAACAAAAACTCTTCTGAAGGATGCCTAATTTTATGCAAACAAAATAACTTCTTAAAACAAATGAAGATTTGCTATCACATTAGAATATTGTTTTAATTTTTTTTTAATTTTCGTTCATGTGCGATGTACTTATTCAACTGAAGGAAAAGTTGATATGGTCAATTGGTACAGTGCCAGTAATAGTTTAAAGAGCGTCAGAGACTTATTTTCTGTGTTGATAGCTTTAAAATTAGTGGTTATCTAAATGCGATCCTCATACGACACCGTAAACAACCCTCAACTTTAACGGAGGATTTGAAATTGAATGTCATCATAACCTAAAGCATACTATTTGCTGTCGTTTTTTATTAAAATCTAGAATGACAATGCAAAATGCGCGCGCATGTTATTTGGTTGTATAAAATTACGCGCCTTTCAGAAGCATTTTTGTCATTTAAAAGTAGACATAGGAAATCCTTATGTCTACTTCTAAATTAATAGCACTGTGAATGTAGAAAAATTTTAAAAATGAATATTGAAATATTAGGTTTGTTTACTGTTCAAGTATTCACAACTGAATAAAAAAAAGGGAATTATTTGTGGGTAATAGAAAACACGATTGGATTGTTCAATGTGTTTTTTTTTGTAAGTTAAAACAAGTGATGTGCCGTACTGTTAAAAATGTACATCCCTGGGTACAGATATGTACTTTTTTTCTTAAGGCCCCCCTTCACGTGCAGTTTTATGTCAGTTTTGGACTGACGCTCCTTCAGTTAATTCCAAACTCGCACGTGAAGGGGTTAAACATGCCAGGCGCGCTTCAGTTGCGGCGCGGAGCGAAGAAATCAAATCAGACTAAATTCCTGGCGCGAACTGACATGCAGCAACAGCAAGATGTGAGCATGTAGATGCGCTCAGTTCTCACATCGGGATTGACACAATATGACAAAGGTGGAGGTAGTACGCTTAAGGTGTGCAAAAGAGAGATAGCTTTAGTAGAATGTAATTGATGAAATTTAGAATGGGTAGTCCTATGTTTCCCGGGTTTCAGGGTTTGTTTGATTTATCTCCTTTAACAAATCAATGTGTGTGGATTCATTTCTTCTCAAATACCATAGTTTCGACCAATACTTTTTTCTCTTTCTTCTTACTTCTCTTTCGTCGTCCACCAGCAACAAAAAAGCAATTGCTTTCCTCTTCTTCAAACTTATTCTTTAACAGCACTGTTGCACTACTAGACCCGGGAACAGAATAAAACTGAAATAAATTAAAAATCAAGCGCGAACGTGTAGATGCAACGCATGTCACACATCGGGAGCGCGCGCCAAGAATTCAAGATAAGAACTGCACGTGAAGGGGGGCCTAGTCTGTGCCGATTTGCGTTATATAAAAACTAAAGTTGATGCTGTGTAACGCAAGACTCAACCAAGGTTGGTATAGACTCAACTTGCATGTTTTTGTTTTCTTTATAGTTTAATATGACACGAGTCAGCAATGACTACGTTTACGTTATTTGATGACAAGAAACGAAAAAAAAAGATAAAAAACTCACTGGTTAAAGTTAAAACATCATTATTACTTGATTCCGGGGTGGTGGCAATTTTAATCATTTACTATTTATTGTATACCAAAATGACTACATATCCGTTTATTAGAGGGATATCAGATAGCGATAATTAAGGGTGAGTATTATATGCATTTATTAATAAAAAAAACTGAACAAGACAAAACATTTGGTAGTAACAAATGTTGTAACTCACAGTAAGATGTAAATAAAATTTGCTATGTATCCAAGTACTAATAAAATATGCCAGCATATATACAAATAAAACACATAATTCAATTAAATTAACAACACTTAAAAAAATAAAATTACTTTTAAGGCACTTAGTAACAAAACAATAATAATCATTATTGTTAAAAATATGGAACATTAGAGGTGTTTCGCAAATAAAATCTATAAATTAAAACAAAAACCTATTCGTTAAAATAAAAAAAAACAGTCTTGAACAAAAATAAAAGGCAAACTAAACTGTACCAGATATTTCTGAAATGTCTCCATTGCATAAAGACGGTGATGTTTGCCGATGATGAACGATCGCTCGCCAAATGCGAAGCTCAGGACCTCCTCGTAGGCCAACCTTATGTAAATCTTCTCTACTAATAATGTACAATACTTCTTCTAAAGTAAAACCCTCATTGATTAACTTTTGTCCTACGTCGTCTAATTCGAGTCCCTGCAACCATTGGTGTAAACGTTGGTCGATTTGTACGTCATCTCTTTGTTGACAACGGCATGACAGAATCTGTCTGAGAGCTTGGGCCTGTTGCTGGCTATTGTCAATTGATAGCTTTACCTAAAATATGATGGTACTTAGTCTAATAACAAATTTCAAATATCAATTATCATGGCGCAACAATCATAATTATATCATTAAAAATCACGAACATTTGCGCCATAAATGACAACTAAAATAAGGAAAAATTGCTCTGAAGAAGGTAAATATTGCAAATAATTTTAATTTATTCATTACAAACTGCAATGCTAACGATACATGCGTTGTCGACTTTCATGGCAAGTGTCAGATACGACTTTTTTGGGAAACCGTTCAAGACAATTTCTTTCAATTTTACACATTTTTAATTATTGGATTTAACAAAAATATTTTTCTACATATAGTCAGAGTAGGCATTTGCGCTCGTATGTGATAACGCAAACGTCATCTTTTTCTAGGAAAGTCACTAAGCGACAAAATAAAAAAAACGCTCGCTCTCCCAATTATTAACTATAAATCAAATATGCATTGCTCAGAGTATCCAATGACAACCAGTAAATGACATCTAAGATGATCTAAGATGTCACAGTGAAAGATGTATATTTTTGGAAATATGTGAATTGCTCGATTGTAGAAAAAATCTTGTGTGTAATTCGAGCGCAAATTGATTGTCGATTTCGATTTCAACTGTCTCTTTCAATCGACAATATCATTTTGCGCTCTTAATACACAAATAGCAATTTTTCACTAGTGGCGTCTCATGACATGATTATTAACCTTTTTTCCACTTGTAAAGTAGGCTTTCTCGGCAGTATTGTAATAATGTGGACATTATTAAGGGGGGATTAACACCAAAATGTGAGGTTAATATAAATTCAAATTTCAAATGTACAAATTTCAAAATATTTTTACTTTTTTCGTAAAAGATAATTCGTAACACCTTCATCTGAGACAACTACGTGATGAGATACATATTTCGCATTAATACAAAAGAAAAAAAAATATTACGTAACCTTTAAAGGTACACCACTAAATAAATATCAAATAGTGTAGCAAACTATTAGTGTCTTGTCACAAGTAGTACCCTGAAGAATGATGTAGTATTTTGGTTTCGGATGAAACTTACTTATTTTTCAAGTTTTGTACATTTTAGTGCCTGATCGCTAAAATGTGAGTTACCGCCATCAAATTCCACATGTTTTTCCTGTAATTTAATTTGTGGATTTCGTGTAAGATGGCGCTGTTAGCGTGTAGCTAAAGTCTGTATACAGTGTGGACGTTTAGGTAACGCAGTGACCTATTAACGAAGAATAGCAACCTGTAATATACTTACATCAATTTATCACATGGATATTATCGCCAAAGACTGACCTTGTTCTTAGAGATAAAGGTGGTGTTTTGTTTGTTATCGTAATTAGATACGTCCTACATTATGCTACAAACAGGATTGTAATTTATTCCACAGACCTATTCTTGCTCTGTCAAATTTTCAGGTATACTATACAATACATCACCTGAACTGGCTTTGTGTTTGAATTATGATCTATTTTGGGATTCTTATCAATACACTTGATTTATAGTGTGTATAATCAATGTCAATACTTATAGTAGTATATTATATATACATAATATATTGGTCAACTTTTAATGTGCTGGTTTTATCAAGGTCCTTGGGTTTTATAGAAATATTTTATTATTAACGACCCTCGCGATCGTTTATAATTTTGTATTGCTGTCCGTCTGTCTGTCCCTGTGCACGATAACTTTGTGTAGAAACGTCCGATCGCTTTGAAAATAGACACACATGTTCTTCAGGATATAAGAAAGGTCCCTATTGTTTTTCGGCTATGTAGACTAACGGGCCAAAAAGTTACAACCCAAAAACTGCCCAAACCTACAAAAAAGGGTTCTGTTATAATTCTTGTTACAAAGAACATATGAATATCCGGTTTTCTGTGTTAGTAGATGAATTTTTAAAAAATTGCGCATGTGCTTTTGTATTTGAGCAATCCCAATTTTTTTATTTGTTATATTTAAATGAAATTTTGTATGTATATGCACCTCCCACCTCGTATAAAAGTAAAAGTAATGCTAATTCAAACATTTGTTTTACAAGCTATGCTGATCTGGTGGAACAGAATCAATCCCTGCGTTGTAAAAAAGATGCACGTGCGAAGATCTCAAGAATCGTTCGGTATTCAGTTGTATCGGATTTTTTGGTCTAATATTGAGGCTAGAGTGGGGCTCTGATATGTACCACAATAGCGATAATCGGATCTCATAAAACACTTATGTTTTTTACCTCTTAATAATGCCACAGATAAAATGTCAATCCCCTAAGAACTTGATTAAGGGTGGTTAATGGGGGTGGGGCTGGAAACAAGTTTTTAATTAAAAAAGAGGGACATTTTTAAAATTGCAACCAGTACTTGCACGACGCAGATAAAATGTGTCGCTTTGGACATAGATTTTTTAATCTATGTCTTGGGCGAGCTACACCCCCGAACGGTACCAAATTTGCGTTTTTAGTTACATTTTCTTCTTATGAACACAACAAGTAAGACTATCTGGGATTTTGAATGTATTATTTCTAATTTTGTATTTCCAAAGATGCACCCTTAAACGGGCGTGTGAAAAGCCTGGTCCCCACAAAATGTTATATTTGGAACTGCAATTGCGGACAGTTTCTTCGTGTGACTTTAAAAAAAAATTATGCGCACTTCATCGTTGAAATAACCTAAACATATTGCACCAAATGTTCGTCTTACAAAAAAGTGGTGCGCATAGCGAATATGGCAGAGGGCAGTTCTAGGGCATTTTCCAATACATGTTGGAAGGCGCTATTATTGCCACTTTCTCCGTCCGTCCACACGAAGCTGCATCTACTCTTACAGTTTTCAAGATATTTAGTTCGTTCTGTTTGCATTCGGTAGCTTAGGGTATAATAACAACCAAGAACCAAGAAAATTTACACCAATTGCTTGCTCCTGCGCCTGACCAGCGGCTGGTAAAGTTAAAACCAGTTATGTAGGTATTATTTCCATGTCTCTGGTATTATTACATATTCATCATCCTTTATATCTCTTTTCTTGTTAGAAACAATACCTACTAACCTGGTACCTACATTTAAAACATAATATGCGTATGGTCTGCGCGTACAGAAGACAACTGTTGATTTATTAAGATATTACCAATGGACACACAACTAGTAGAATCGTTACCAAGAATATGTTTTCCGCTTGGCGACATATCGCATATATGGTAAATATCAGATGCGCGCATACGCATACTGCGCAATGTGCCAACTTTATAGTAATTTCTTTGAAATTAGTAAAGAAAAACAAGGCACATAGTAAAAATTAAATGTGTCATGCGGAAGCTGAGCGATATCATCTTTCTTAATCGGCTATTTTTTTGAAATTTTAACCATATGTGCTTCTAGTAAAGGCAAACTTATCGCAGCATTTACCTATACTACCGGCATATCTGCACATGCGTGATTCTACCCAAAAGCTTTCTGCTCTTTCTTTTATGTATGTCTAAACATATATGTATGTACCAAATTTGGTTCCAATCGGTTCAGTCGTTTACCTGAAAATGAGAATACCGACAGATAGACAGATAGAGATAATCCAGATTTTGTTTGATTTGGCTTCGTGGTGCTTCAAAACGTGTATTTTTTATTATTTATGCTTCTCAGGTATAAATATTGAGAAAGGTACCTACACCATATGATGACCAATATATATTATAAGTCTTAAATCAAATGTCATTTATAGCGCAACGGATGTTGTATTGAGAACCGCTGACTCCGTACGGCTGGTTTTGAGAAACTTTCACTCGTAGGGAACGGATTTTTACATTGCATTTCAGGTGCATATTATTAAATACAACTATTGGTCGCGTTATAAATGACGTTTCATTTACGATTTAATAATTTATGTTACATTGCTGCGCATATGGACTATAGTTTACTAACGATATGTACTATATCTTGTCATAGAGTAGTATACTTTAAAAGTTGTGCTGCGTAAGGCGGACGTGAGATTACAAATTGTGCTGTGTAAAACTGGCTACGTAAATACTTGTACACGTGCTGCCATCCAGTGATGTATAACTTCATTTATTGGGTAACAAAACAACCTTAACTAGTATACTCTGTTTTTTAACTAGGAAGACGGATTTAAAAGTTCCCGCAAAAAATCTTAGTTTCTATTGGCTCGCGCTGCGCCCGTTTTACACCCAGGTAAAATTGCTATTGACATGATTTAACTGTCAAATTTAATCGCGAGTCTCGTCCTTTAACTGTTGCACTTATTTTTGAGTTTTTGTGTGTTCTGAGTCCATTTGCATAAATTTTAACAAAAAAACCAGTTCATTTAAGAACTAAAGTTGATATTTCGCGTCCTAAGTGTACTGGCATTAGTGATGGATTCAAACTCCAAGTACCAGTAAAGCAAGCTTGTCTCCTTTGAAAAAACGTAGTCGCTTCAACTTGGATCATTTTATCAGTCTCCGAGAAGCAGTTTATTATAAACACATAAACAAATGTTGGCTGATACTCCGGATATGAATTTTGGTACGCTTGTGTTAAAGATTGCATCTACCACAGGTAACGTAAATAATGATATAGGTATATATTTGGTTATTAAAGTATCACACATATTTAGGAGATGCACGATCTACAGTATACCGGATAATTAAAGAATATCGAAGTACTGGGATTGTTACCCCTTCGAAACGTTCCGGTGGTCATAACGCTGTTGCAAATGTGAGCTCTGACGATTGGCGGAATTGTGTGCAACACGTTATTAAGGAAGAAAATAATGTGTGTAGATTGGATGGCCTAATGGATACACTTATAGAACCATTAATTACTTCACTCGGATCGGAGGACAGTGACAGTTTTAGTGAACTTTCGGAAAATACATAAAGCAGTGAACTGTGCTGTTTAATAATATGAGTATAATTCCATTGTTCTGAATTTGTTCAATAACTTAACATTTGTTGTAAATTGTAATGTGGATTGTGTAGTATTACAACTGATAAAACATTTAAAACTACAATTCAAAATAATGTTTCAAAGGCCAAAAAATGTATGCAGGATGATTACCTATTATCAATGTATTACCTATTTATTATAATTCGCTTTTAAAAGTATGATGTATGCATAATATAAAGGAGTTCCTACCAAATAATAACCCAAAAGCATAAATAATGAAATCTATCCAAATGTGAAAGAAAATCACATCACGCAACCCACAATACATGTCTGTATAAAATGAGTCTATTATTTTTGTTACTAGATTCTAGTGACATTTTCAGTGTAAATCAGGTTTTTAAATCCGTCTTCCTAGTTAAAAAACAGAGTATAGTAGTCAATAATGAGAACTGTCACGCTGTCACTTTTAGAAAACACAACCCGAAATTTCGCTCAATAAACGTTTAGACAAGTTCTCTAAAATGAATAATTGCCACCATCCGCCATTTCCAGAGAAATTACATACCTAAAATTATCACATTTTAAAAAAATTCGAACGAAATTACTCTTTGAAAATATCTCAATGACAGAACAAAATACGGCCTGTTTGACTTGTACTTCCACGCACTTGATTCACATGTTAGATTAATAAACAAAAAATTCTGTCCAACCGTTCACTTTCTTATCAATATAATATGTTAATTTAGAAGACTTCAAGTAGTAGTAGTGAAAAAAATAGTATACATATACCACGGATGGTAGAGAAGTTAATTATTGTCTTCGCACCTTAAAACCCTCGGCACAAGCGCCTCTGGATGCAATCTTGGTGCTCAGCGAGGTGCTCAGGGAATAATACTAAACTTCTCTACTTCTAAAACTATTTTCTAAGAAAACAGCAGTGGCGGCTGGTGTATAAGGGCTGCAGAGCTGCAGAACCACCAGAAAATTAAAAAATAAGCTTTACAGTTAAACCTATAATAATAAAATAAAGCGCGACAAGCGCGGAAGTTAAAAGGTGGCATAGTTTCCCAGCACAGTAAACGATGAGTCTCCGCGCACTAGACTATATAAACTTAGCAGTGCGATACGAGAAGGTGCTGCGCTCCAAATTCAAGGTTTCCCCGCACCTCGCGACACTCGCGGAGGTTATTTTTAGTGTGTAGCTTTAACGAGATTTTGAACTGCATCTGATGCAGCCCCAGCTCGGTTCTCGGTGAGAAATTGTTACTTGCGGATCAATTTTAAAGTTTTCGCGTATTGTTATACCTACCTATTTTTTTGTTTATTTTGATATTCGCATTAGAAATTCCTAGTTTATTAAATGTTAAAAAGTTTATAAACAACACCTACGAAAAAAATTAAATTAAAACAAGACGGACGTCCATTTCGCCTATATTTCCATTGAAGAAGAAGGCTCGAGTGATAAACAGTATATAGACAATTTAATCGCGAATTGTATGTTAAGAAACGAATCGATATGTGGGTGCCATAAGAAAAATGCTCTCTTCTCTTTCCCGTGTGCACTGTTTGGCGGAAATAAATCGTGTACACAAATTAGAGTCACCGATATTTAACACATTTGAGTAAAAAATAAGGAAACATGCCGATCCTATTTACATAACACGCTTTACTAGCCACGCCACAGTAAATAGAGAACAACTAGATTCTGCCTATTGGGTAAATATTAACAAAAATTAAGGAAGAAATGGCGAAATCTACTAACTAAAGTGATTGACTACATACAAATTTGTGAAATGTTTGAATTGGCACTGCGAGGACATGAAGAGACGAGTGTCTCGGAGAATCCAGGAATTTTTCGGGGTTCAACAAATATAAGTGCAGAGCTTGCAGAACCTCTGTATTTGTAACACACGAGCCGCCACTGGAAAACAGTATTGGTTTCTATGCCAATAAATTCTCATAATGTTTAAAGGTGATCCCTACATAGAATTCGGTTATGCGATTAAAGCAATAACAGAAAAAAAAACTTTCGTTTCGAGAGTGGAATAGTTTAAGATGGTTCTAAAGAAATTGATATTTTGGTTGTAAAGGATGCGGGAGGTTATAGAAACTCGATTGTAGAGTAGTCAAAATTTGCAATATTATTAGGCACTTCAATATCTTTTCATTTACCACTGATTAATTTAGTTTATAATTTGCATGTAGGCTTTATAATTCACGAAAGGTACGTATGGTCTAACTGCCTCGAAATAAATGCATCTCCCATCAAGGGGGCGTAATTCAAGATATGCTTAATTAAAATTTAGCCTGCCGCAATTATGCCTTGCGCTCATGTTCAATACCTTGCCTTACCTAAAATGTAGCCTTTCCGTAATTATGTTTCTGACCAACGTTAATTGCTATTAATTAAAAATAAGGGGTGCGCAATTATGCGCCCGGCTAACGTCAATTCTTTGTTTGCTCAAATATGCGAGCAGCTAAAGTAATGAATTATAGAAAACTAAATTGTGAATTCGTAATTCTTATGGAAAGTTTGGAATATTTATAAATTGTCAACAATCGACAGTCACTAGTCACTTATTTTTGATCGCCCGTTATAAGAAATAACTAAAGCCACTTACCAACGTCTGATACTGTTTGTGACTGTCTATTAATTCTTGTAGTAAACGAGTATTTTCTGCACGCAATTGAACCACTTGATCGCGGTAGTCATAACCAGCTGAACTCTTGCTCGATTTCGCAGAGTTGACCGTACTCGGAGAACTATGATTTGCTAAATTTTCGCCTAGTTCCGGAGATAAAACTGTAATAGCTGCCTGAACACCAGATCTCACCAGATTGTCTAAAGCAAACATCCAATGCGGTTTAATAGGGTGACGTCGAAGTACCTCGTTTACAGATTCCTGTAAAAGAAATAGAATGGAGATTTCAAACTAGTTGCGTAGATCCAAATACTAACTTGATATAGATATATGGCAAATTGCAGTTGGTTTATTGCGGTAGCGTCAAAGTCTAGCTCTTCCTTCAAGTGTCTCACAGTTGTTTCAATAACTGTTAACGACTGTTCAGTTAAATATTCTTTTAAGCCACCCATAAGCTTAGCTAAATGCTGCAACGTTAATACTGTTTCGCCTAAATACTTTGTTCTAATTTTCTGTATCCAAAGCTCGCAAATCTTTGCGCCGTCTTGCGCCAGGACTTTTGCGAGCGTTGTCCTTCGCTGGGAGTCTTTTTTTAAAAGATAAAATCCGTCGGTCTCTATTCCTACGTCGACCTCTGGCGATAGAAGAGTGCCCGTGGATCCCCTTCTTTGTTGGCTGTCACAGTCTGGGTCCATGTCTAGGGAAGGCGTAGACGCCAAACTGTCAAGGAAAACGGTCCACATAATTCGCCATAATAGGTTGAATACGTTAAGGTTAAGAAAAGACGAGTTAGTAAGATTGGAAATTGTAACGAAGGTAAAAGCAATGGTTACCTGTTGAAAGAGAGAGCGGCAGGCATTTGTATTGGCGGTAAAAGGGACCCTCTGCTATGTGAGCTGCAATCACAATTAACACCACAATAAAGCAAACACAGGTAAAAATATAAACAAGACTCACACGCTCACAAAATATTTACGCAAGGTTAAAGGTTATCAATCATCGTCCTTACCAAGAGTACTTAAAACTAAAATCATCTGCGTTAATAAGAGAAAGAAGACTGTAAAGATTCATGTCATATAAATAAAATATAAATAATAGGAAAACTTTGCGCACAATTTCCGTGAAAAGGAAGGATGGTGTGCTTATCATTATCAGTTTTATTCTATTACTTCCTGTTTGGGTTACAACTGGTGCAGACACCAGAACAGTCACTTGCTGATTTTAAAATATATTCCTTTATTATCCTATACGACGCATTACTGTCAAAAATTGCAGTTTTTTTAATCTCGACTACCACTTTGCATAAAAATGATCTATCTGTTTTGATTCTTGTAGTCGTTAAGAGTCGTCAAAATTTAACGACTGATAAATCTTCTGAAGGGTTTAATTAGTTTACAATCTTTAGAGTGTGTCTATTAATTAATTAATATCTACATCGCATATTGTTTGTTTACGGAAGCACACTCTATCGCCGCTAAGACATTGCGTCACACATTGTTTTCCCAGATAAGACACATTTTTCTTCTAATACCTAAAGATACGTAGTTTTGAAATATTTTATAGGTCATGAGCTCACAAAATCGACTAGAACATTTGCCACTGATTTTAAAAACGCAATCACTTCTTCAAATACAGTTGTCCCAGATAGGAATGAACAGCATTTCGAGATACACACTCGGTTAAATTAGAAAAAAGTTGCGTATTTTAGGGCTTAGTAAAATGATGTTTTAAAAATTCGGAAATTCCCATCCGAAATTAGCCATATTCGTTTTTAGCGTATTTTCGTCAAAGTGAAAAATCGCTATTGGCTGCACTTTGACGTCCGTCCGTCCTTCTGTCCGTCACACGTACTCCTTCTAAACCACTGAACCGATTTTGGCGATATAGGGCTCATTTGAAAGGGCTTGGTCCAAGGATTCCGTGCATACCCATATTTTTTTCGTTTTGCGCATGCGCAGTGTCAGAAATTTGGTTTAACGCATGTGCAATGCTAACTTTTTTATTTATGAAGATATTTAAATGAAACTTTATATGTAAACACTACGAATATAAGTAAAATTAACGACGTTTTCAAAATAATGGTCTCGTTCATAAGACACAACAGTTGTGGTTTTATGTCACAATCCATACTTTGACATGTGTGTGTAGCGCTACTAAAAATGGCCGACGTAAAGAGCGTAAAAGTAGCGACGTAATTATAAGACGTATCGGTAAATGTTCCACAACAGTTGTGTCTTATGAACGCGCCCATTGTTTTGCGCATGCGCAATGCCAACTTTCTTATTTATGGAGGGATTTAAATGAAATTTTATACATAGGCATTTGGAATAAAGACAAATCTAACACCAGTTGCAAAATTTAGTTTTGCGCATTCGCAATGGCAACTTCCTTATTTACTGAAGCATTTAAATGAAATTAAATACATAGGCACTTGGAAAACAAGCAAATCTAACACCAGTTTTAAAATTTGGTTTTGCGCATGCGCAATGGCAACTTTCTTATTTATGAAAGCAGTTAAACGAAATATCATATGTAGGCAACTTGAATGAAACTAAAACTAATACCGGTTTCAAAATTACTGTTAACGCATGCTGGTATGTTTTATTTACGAAGGTATTCAATAAAATTTCTAATGTAGACAATGCGCAATGCTATTTACAAAAGCATTTAAAAGCGTTTCATGAAGAGAATGTGACAGCATTAACTATTAGGAAGAAAATACGCTCTCGTCATTTATGCTTGCATAAGGACTTTTTAGCTTGTTATTTTTTTCTGGAACTATTGAAAAAGATACCAAAAAACCAATAGGTAACACTTCTCATGGGCACTGTTTAAGCTCTACAAGATTTCATCTTTGAAAAATCATCATCAACTTGCATTTTTGTATGGACCGGAAAAAAATACATTCTGTATTCAGTAGCATTTGTTATTACCACTACAATGACGTATGGCACAGTATGATTCTTTAATAGATATTAGTTTGCACGTTATCAATTCTGTTTTTGGGGAATATTGTAATGCCAACGTATTAACAAAATAAAAAGATCATTTAAACCACAATAAACCCCTAAAGAGCATCTAAAAAAGCAACAGAGCACCTTGGTGTGACCCACGGTGTAAGAATCCGACGACTGTCGATTCAGGCGGAGATGGCTGTCCCCGATCATGCAACGCTTGCCGCACGACAGAGAAAGCTTGAGGCGAGCCATAGCCATCTCTGTCGTACTCACGGGTTCGCAGTAGTATTGGGTTGTAAAGGTGCTGTCCGTTTTGCGGTGTAGGTGTATCTATTCGTTTATGTGCCAATACTTGGAAGGAGATGTTGCGTACCTAATTGTAACGCAGGCTACGAAAGCAATGCAGAAAAGGTATCGCTTTTTAAAATCCCGGAAAGCAAGTTGAAGAGTGGAGTAAAATTATCCCGCGAAAAAACAAACGGTTAACCACAAAAGTTCATGTTTGCGCTAAACATTTTGTGCTTACGAATGTTTTATTTGCTGCATGCTCGTTTAATAAGAATTGTATTTTATTTGCAGAATCTTAGGGCCTTAAATTTTATTTTTATTTTCCTTTTTAACTAAGGTATCATTTTCAGCGGTTTTTTGGCGCTATTCGCCAAGCTGGAGGTGCTAATGACCACCCTACACTTTATTCGTTTCTCCAGTTATACCGTTTACTTTCTTTATATAGTATTTTGAAACCACCAGCATACGGAAACTGCCTGCCTATTGAAAAAAAACGGACTCCAACAATTTCTCTTGACGATTTTAAAAATTTGTTTATCGACGATGGGCGTCAGAAGCACCTAAATTTGATTAAGGAAAAGTTGGACAATTTGTTGGAACAGGAAGATTGTTCGGACTTGTTTGATGGTGTAGGTCTGTAGGAGATCTTAGTGTATATTTTCTAGCAGGTTTTATTAGCAAAAAACTGTTTAAATTAAACCGATGCAATACGTGCTGAGAAAATTTGTATTTCAAAGAAGCTTTAATTCCGATGGAAGAAGCTGAGTAACCGAATTGGAATCTAAAGGATTTTTATGTCGTCCAGAAACAAGTATGTTTCACTTTTTAAGAAAATTGGATTATTGGAGGACATCTGTATGAAATGAAACACATAACATCTGTGGACGTTTTCGAAGCCATTCATTATAGACGAAGTTGACAAGCAAGGATTATCCTTTACTTTTAATTGTAGCGAGCATAAGGACGATATTGTTGCACAAACCATATATTTTTATGCAATAATGAGAATCAAACAATATTGCCAACAGGAAGAAATGGGGTACAAGCGGCAATCAGCGGAAAAGAAAAAAGAATTGCGACACGCTTGCCGCAGGTAAGCAGTTTCTACGTGAGTTTCTGCTGTGAAAATGTTCGAAACTTCCACGTTAATTAAAATTGGTCTAATATTAGATGATGAAGAACAAGAAAGTACATATTGCAGAAAAAGAAAAATACGTTTTTGTGTACATAAAATGCATAAGAAGTATCTTTTATGACCGAAATCATTTTCTCGGACACATTTAATCAGCATCTCATCTTGTTCCGCTGAAAAAGTGTTCCTTTGCTGACCCTTCAACGTTTCTTGTACTATGAAAACTGAACTAAAGTCGGTGACCTGCACAGATTGTATTCACACTTGTCGGAACGTGCACGGTACATGCCCTGGCAAATATTGTTTCGGAAGAATGCCGCGTGCAAAGGCCGTAGCTTGCCGAGTCTTTGCTCGCATAGTGTGAATTACACCCCAAAAAATTCATAAGATTCAATAATATAGATATTTTGCCGAGTCGGTGCTTTGCCTGTGCCGAGTACGTGCCTTGCCCGAAAGTGAGAATCGACCTT